CTCATTAAAACCCAACAATGACCCAATCCACCCTTCTAGTTACTGTCCCTTATCACATATTAATTCAGATTTAAAAATCATTACCAAAGCCCTAGCCACTAGAATAGAGGCAGTCGCCCCAATATTCATCCACCCAGACCAAACAGGTTTCATTAAAAACAGAACTGCTTCACATAGCATCTGTAGATTATTTACTTTGATTAATCTTGCACAACAAAAACAAACCAAAATGATGATTTTATCACTGGATGCAGAGAAAGTATTTGACAAAGTTAACTGGATATTTCTCTTCTGTATATTACACAGATTTGGGTTTGGAGAGTTGTTCATCCATTGGATAAGAACACCGTACACATAACCTAGGGCAACAATAAGTACAAATGGGATCAGTTTACAAAGTTTAATTTTACAGCAGGGTACCAGACAAGGATGCCCACTCTCACCATCTCTATTCGCCATTTTCATCGAGCCTCTAGCAGCAGCTATACAACAGAACAATATAAGAACATAAAATTAGTCTTTGTGCAGATGATTTATTATTATATTTAAAGGATCCATATATTTCTCTACAGGAAACTTTACACATTATTAACACATTTTCTAAGATCTCAAACTACACAATAAACTGGAATAAATCCACCATACTACCACTCGCTGAGGACGCCTGGGATTCTGCAGCTCAAGACTCCTCTCCCCAATTCTGCACAGGCAACATTAAATATCTTGGTATTACCCAGGCTGTCAGAACTTTTTAACCTCAACTACACCCCCCTGCTAAAAAAAGATAGAAGATGAGTTCAAACGCTGGTCCAATCTTTCTCTCTCACTCATCAGCTGAATTGCTACTGTCAAAATGAAAACTCTACCTCAAATCAACTACCTGTTTACAATGCTACCCACAACACCCACAGATAAATGATTTAATTCCCTTGATTCTATAACTTCGCAATTTTATTGGAAAAACAAGAAACCCAAAATTTCTCTATCTACACTCCAAAAGAATAAATCACTAGGTGGCCTAGAAGCACCAAATTTCCAATATTACTACTTGGCAAATCAGCTACAATATTTAGTCAAATGAATTCAGAAGGACAGTTACAACCAAGTTTTCTACCAAACTCTACTAAGAAAATTAATTACTGTAAGAACATCACAATCCTCCTAATCCTATCTATTTCCCAGCATGGCAACACAAAGGAATCACTCACTTGCATCACCTGTTTGAAAATAACCAGTTCATATGATTTAATACACTGATCCAGAAGTACAGAGTTCAGAGAGAACAGTTACTCCAGTACAATTGACTAAAATATATAATTAAGTCAAAGATTAGTGTAACCAATAATCCACTACAACCCTCCAAATTAATTGAAGAAATTATGAAAATTACATCTTCCAAGAAAATAATATCTAAGCCATATAAACTCAAATATAGACTCAACAATAACAATACCAAAACTCAAGTGGGAAAACAATTTAACTCTCTCCCTCAACTCCGACTTCTGGACAGAAACTTGCAATAACATCTATTCTCTGACCAGCAGTGTAAACTTACAACTTATACAATATAAGACCATTTACAGGACCCATATTACAGAAAATAAAATGTTCAAAATGGGTTTCACTGACACAGACATCTGCTCACAATGCACTCTAGATTGAAACAACAATTATTTTCATGCTACTTGGACCTGCCAACCAGTTCATTCCCTCTGGATAGCAGTGACAGAGAAACTCTCCACCATCTTGGGCATGCATCAATTTCCAGAGTAGATGTTTTACCTAAATTCCTCCTTCTTCACACATCTGCTCACAATGCACTCTAGATTGAAACAACAATTATTTTCATGCTACTTGGACCTGCCAACCAGTTCATTCCCTCTGGATAGCAGTGACAGAGAAACTCTCCACCATCTTGGGCATGCATCAATTTCCAGAGTAGATGTTTTACCTAAATTCCTCCTTCTTCACCACTTTGCTTACTCTGTAATATCATAGAAATTGACCAACACCAATTAAATACAAAAACCCACTCCTCATTTCTCTAGCTATTGCCAAGAAAACAATCTTTCAAAACTGGACATAAAAAAAAAATCACTACACATAAACCACTGGACCAACCTTCTCGTAGAATACATCACATTAGAGAAAATGGCATCCACTCACAAGAATAGTTTATCAGCTTTTTATGACGCATGAAACCCATTTTTAACACATTTCAACTTGAACCAAACACCTGGGAGGCCACACACATTCCCAACAACTAAAAATGTAATAAGCTGATTTTATTAGTAGTACTGTTATCATCATTATTATTGGTAATTATTTATTTATTTATTCATTTATTTCACCCTCCTTTGCCTTTTCTTGCACTTCATAGACTGCATAAATTGGAAATACCCACACTACAATCTTGTAAAACACTCTATATCCTTTTGTAATGTCATGTATCTGTTCTCTCGTCTCCCATGTTTGGTACTGTTTTGTTAAAGTGTTACGTTGTTTCAATAAAAAATTAAAATAAAAGAAATATATTATAAGTAATTATAAAATAAACAGTCATGTGAATAAATAGTATAAAACATATGAATGATGCAATAAATGTTTAAAAAAGTAAGAAATTAAAACTCTTAGCCTTATGTTAAATCATGATTTAATTTTCATCATAAGTATTATAGAAGTTTGATTTTATTTCATATGGTCACATTTCATAAGGTCCATTTTTATTTCATAATGCCTTTTTTCATAAATGTGTTGCTGTCACCATCCTCTCCCCTTTCAGCCATTCACATGCTCCCTGCCTGTTCAGTTAACAAGTGCAATACCAGATTTAGCCAGTTAGCTCTTAGCTAGAACAACAGCAGTATCAAGGTCATTTTGAGTAAGTTGACTACCTGCTGTAAAAAACTAATACACAACCAACATCTTTTACTGAGCTTCAAAGGGGTGCACATGCTACCTAACTACAGTAGCTGGCGATCTATGTGGGGGTGTGAGCCTCATTTATTACTTAGCACTAAACATGTTGCAGAGTCTTTCTCTGTGGCCAGTCAAGCCAACAATAACTGGCTAACAGTGGTTCTTCACTCTGAAGCTAAAGAGGTTGAGTTACAGTGTCTGTGCACTGTGTTTGTCTTGAACAGCAGCCTCTGGTTGGTTGATTTCGAATCGGTTTGACACTGTTAATGCTCAAACATCAGACAGACAGTTACATGAACCAAGTTGTTTGTGCAACATCTTAACTGCAACCACAGTCAAGTCATAGACAAATGCCAGTAGTATGTTGTATATTTTGAGAAAGGGCTTTTTTCATAAATAAGAATGCAATAAAATAAAAATGGCATTAAAAATGTGTTTTTATAAAAATGAATGCTGAAATAGATTTTCATAATAATGAGTTATGGTTTAATTATAACATTTCTTCAGTTATTTTACAAATTGTTGGCTCATTTACTATATATTTTTTCACAATTAATCCATATAATTATTTGTTTCATAATTTCTTTTTTACTAATTTAATATTGAATACTTTGGGACTCCATTGTTTGTAATCACAACTTTGATTTAACCCTTTTTCAAACTGTGCATTTACTGTACAGTGTACTGTTTATGCAAATAAACTCATTCAGAGTCCATGGCTATGTTTTTCCAGAAGGTCAGCATTAAATGCCAAGTGGTTAGAAAATTGCCTTTCAATCAGAAGAACATGGTTCACATGCCCTGCTGAGGTGGATAGCACACAACTGCTGGGATGCAGATGAGCAGGAAAGAACCACTTTGTTCCTTAAGATAAAAAACAGAAGCACCACTACATCATTTCTTTTTTAAGCATAGTAAGAGCAGACTGTAGAAAAAACAGCAATCCAGATATTTTTGATGTTACACTCTGAATATCATAATGAGATAGATAGGATAATCATTTTACTTGGCCAAATATGTTATACACACACACACACACACACACACACACACACACACACAGAATTTGTTTCCGGTACAGAACCGAGGCAGCCATCTGTGGCACCACCTCACGCCGATGACCCTAACCATCGGGAGCAGGTTGGGGTTCAGTGTCTTGCCCAAGGACACTTTGACATGTGGACAGGTGGCACCATGATTCAAACCTCCAACCCTCTGGTTGAGAGGCGACTGCTCTACCCACTGAACCACAGCCGCCCTTTACCAATGTATAGTCTAACTCTTTCCTGATAATTAGAAACATCACAAAACCCTTTATGATGCCTCCATGTATGAGATACTTACAATACTCTATGCCCAGGATGATGTCTCTGAAGTACAACCTTGCTTGCTCCTCTGACAAAGGAGTGTCTGTGGGCACTTCCATCACTGGACTACAACCCATGCAGGCAGATCATCAGGCAGTGTAGAGAAGAAACCGATATACAGAGAGCAAGGAAGACATGATGTTTCAACATTACCATTGCAATACGTCTCCAAATGTGAAGACATTCAAATGATGCACTGCATCTAAACAGACATTAAGCATGACACTTCGGTGGTGTTTCAGTCCTTTGATGCCCAACAAGGACTGAAACACCACAGATGGGGATAAATATCTCAAACTCAATGCCAGTCGGGCAGAACTGATGAAGCCTCTTGGATGAGAGGTTAAATGTCTTCAACCTAAAAAACCTAGTCCAGTCCATTTTTCAAAGTTTTTTTTCAGCTATAAATCATTAAGTGAAACTTGTTACAATTTCCATTTTCCTAATATTGCTTTATTGAAGATAACTATTTCTAATGGCAATACTTATATATTGGTGGGTAACGTTTTTACAGTGTTATAACAAATGGTTTAACTGTTGCATTCAATACATTTACAATATAGTTAATACAGTACAGTTACTTCAAAATTATGTAATTCTACTAAAGATGCATGAGTAGGCCGCTACAGTATATGATTAGAACTGTAATCTGTAAATAAACATTCACTAACTATACATACAGTAAATGAATCAGCTAATATTTGAAATATCTGCATGATAAATGACTTAAATGATTAATCCATTACTGAAAATGTCTGTGACAGACTGACAATTTCTAGGGATAATTCATTTCAGCCTATTTGGTACATTTTCATTTCAGGTCCAGATTCTTATTAATTGTAAATGTTTGGTGAATTATTTGAAATGTTTCATGGCTGGAACAGTAGTTAAAATGTTTGCTAGTGTTAGTGACTGTTTGGCAACAATTAACCCAAATTAGCCTGAGTAGAAGAAAGGTTGTTTTTGGCGTGTGGGTGCAGACAAAAAGGGGGATGGGTCTGGGACACTGGAACACATTGTTGAGCCCTCTTGGTGTTGTGGGCCCAGCTCAACAAAATACCAGTTAGTGAGAAGGTACCCACTTGATGACCCTGTAGACTTGCCTTCACTCCTACACCCACACAGAACTTGATTTGGTGTTGGTGATAATATAGTTATAGACTCACTGGAATTGTCAATAGTCTTCTTGTGTTAAACAGTCTTGGTAGAACAGTGCCAGTGGAGGGGACCCGGCTCTCAGAGGTGACTGCCATTACAAGCCAATTGCGCCGGCCACTGGTTAATCTGAGCAAATTCAATTAAGATGTGGTGTGTCAAGCCACATATCTGCTCTTTGCTTGGGTGAGGTTAGGGTTCAAAGATGCTTTGTGTTAAGGGTAAAATGGTGTTGCTTATTGTGGGCTCTGAATATTTATGACAGTATGGCCAGATACACCCCTCTTTGTGGCCAAATAATGGGTAAAAATCATTTAACTTGTACACTGAGCTTCCATATGAATGCTCTCTTATTCGTTAGGCCATTTAACTGTATATTATTGACTGTTGGCCATATTTGTTATAGGTCTGAAATAATAATAAACAGAGAGATGATAGCAGTCACAGTACATAACAGTATTAATACTACAAAGAAGTCTTCTATTGTAACACACCTAGATATTAGTGCTGTGTGTTAAAAGGGGTGGAAGTAGCAATAGTAGAACTTATAGCTCTATTGCAATAAAGAAGCTGTAAACTATAATTACCGCTTTGCGGTTGTATGCCTCCGCCGGCCACTCAAATTCATGGAAATGGACAGATATGAGGTCACTGACCATGACATTTGACCACCAAAATCTAATCGGTCCATCCTTGAGTCCAAGTGGACACTTGTGCCAAATTTGAAAAAACTCCCTCAAAGTGTTCCAGACATACCGAGTTCACAAGAATGGGACGGCTGGATGGATGGACAACAGAGAAACATAATGCCTCTGGCCACAGCTATTACCGGCCCGGAAGCATAAAAAACAAGAGTTATTATTTTTATGAGTAGTATAAGAGATATTAATAGCAGCTATAATAAGCAGCTTACTTGTTTATCAACTTCCTCCCATGGGCAACAAAAGAGCAAACTGTTTCTCTCAATATGAAATAACTAACAAATAGCAAATAGAGCATATCTTCCTATTAAAATGTGAGCGTAACTTATTTCATAAAATGGCCTTATACTTGTATAGCGCCTTTCTATGCTTTTACAGCACACTCAAAGCGCTTTCACACATTATTCGGCCATTCACCCATTCGCACTCCCAAGCACTCACGCATTCACACACCGGTGACATCACCGGGAGCAACTGGGGGTTTAGTGTCTTGCTCAAGGACACCTTGACGGTTCTGCTGCTTCCTGTCGTGCTTTTATTTTGACGTTACTTCCTGTTTTGCTTCACCACAGTTTCGGTCTTTTTACTTTCATCATCACTCACATTCGTTTCACCTGCTCCTTATTGTTTGCACCTGTTTTCACCTCTATTTAGGCAGCGTCCTCCCATCAGGACGCTGCCGGATTGTTCTAGACACCAACTCTGACCTTTCAGCATTAATTCCTGCCTGACGTGTCAGTATTGGACACTGGATTTCTGTTTTGGACCACCATATATTGCCTGCCCCTTTAAACTCGGACTGCTTCTATGTGTATCGGCTTAACGGACTTCCCTTTCGACAACGTGTTTTGGATTCCCTTGATGTATGTGTTTGCTGGCTCTGATCTTGGACTGTTGTACCAACCTGTAGTGCGTTTTGTGTTACACCATGTCTTGTCTTGTTTTCCTGTTCTGCATTTGTGCTCTTATTAAAGAGATGGTTTTGTTCAACATATCCTCGTCTGGCCATTTAAATGAGTTCACCCATGATATTTTCGGCAGCATCATGCACCGTTTCTGACACAAAAGGTGGCAGATTATTGAAAAAAAAAATCAACTGGACTAGATTTCTAGGTCGAAGACGTTTCACCTCTCATCCAAGAGGTTGATGAAGCCTTTTTTTTCAGCTTACTATGACCTGGGTGACTGAGAATCTGCACAGACATGTCTCAGATTATTAGATTATCCCAAATTTATCATTCTGTGGGAAGGAACAGCTCATGCATCAGGACATGAAACACTTACAGGGTTGACCGCTACTGGTAATAACTGAAAACCTAAGAACATTATGAATACCTTTGAAACCTGAAATGGAACAAACACTTGCACTGTGTCAGCTTGAAGTAATGATGGAGAATACTGCAGAAACCAAGGCAGGGATGGAGAAATGAGGGGGTGAAGGTAAAAGAACAGAGAGGACAAATCTTACATTATTAAAAAAAAAAAAGAATACGTTCTGTGTACTCACCCCTTATGCATCAGTTCAAACACTGTTGGAAAAAAGAGAGGGAAGAGAAACAGGAACACATTCATTCATTCAGCTGGGTTTGACCACTGCTGCCACTGAAGCAACACCACAGCATCACATTATTCACTGTCAAGAGCACTGAATTATCTGAACGTGCCTCATGAAGCACAAAGAGTTGGATGTCTAACATACATCTCAGCTGGTAATGGAAGGTTTCTGCATAATATGTGAGCTCTGAGGTGGTGTGGGAGCCTGAGGTCATCTGAATTATGAAGAAGTTACATGAACACTTGGTAATGGCAGGTCTCAAGTGCCAAAGGCTGAGGAGGACAAAAACTGAGCAAAAGATCAGGACAAAGAAAATATGGCCTGCCTACCCATGTGAAGGGTGTCCCCAGTAGGATCGTCCAGCACCTGCAACATCAACATAATCATTATGAATGGAGACGTTCCAGTAGAAAACCCTCAAGATCATCACCATAGGTGGGTGGAAACAATACAAAACTGATAAAGTACACTGTGTGTGATACTTCACAGGAACATTTGACACACTTGTATTCCAGACCAAGACACTGCAGATTCTAAAATCTGCCCTTCCTTTATAAGAGATAATTTTAATGGAAGCACCACTGATATTTTAAAAACTGGTTAAAACCTTTTGGATTTTCTTTGTGTTCATATGAAAGCTAGTGTTTGTACAGTTGGGACATTGGTGGGCACTATAACTTAAAGTGCTGACTACCGTGTTAGAGAACACTATCTGTCTCCAGATAAGCTGCATGGTAATTAGATTGCATATTAATTTGGGGATATGCAACATATAAGAATAAAGCTCTAGTTTTAAAACTATACAGTATTTTGACCTCATGAGAGAGGAACAGGGTAGGGGCAACTCCATTATCAAAATTTGTTTAGAAGTACTGAGGAGTACTTGAGTACTCACTTGAGTCAGTGTTGGTTGGGGCTGTAGACTACAAGTTTGGAAAATGGGCTAGGTGAGGTTGCATTGTGGATGAAGTAGGTGCTAAGTTTTGACATAAAAAAAGAATATGTAGGGGAAAAAAGAATATATCACTGGTTTTGCTGCAGCAAATCTTTATAATTTCTTTTTTACACTATCTATTGTGAGTCTGACAATGTTACAGGAGTGCAATGCTAAATCTGTGAAGTGCATGTTCAAAAATCTCTCCTGCAAGTCACTATTATCCTCCAATGGACACAAAGTAAACATGGAACTTTGGAGGCCCCTGAAGTTCGAGGGCCCTGGGCAGATTTTGCCTGGTTGGTAAACCATGGTTATCCATGTTAATGGAAACAGGTGTTCCCCTAGGACTGGTACTATGCTTTTGCAAAACATGGGCCATGCAACAGCTCACAGCTCCTACTGTACAAAGCACAGGACACACTGTGCAGACCATCTATACAGCACCTACAGCATGCTGGTGAATTTAAATTACTACAGTGAAGGTAAATGCTGACCAAGGACAAACAGTGCTGGAAAAATAAGGGCAGGAAACACCTCATATTAATTTTGCCTTATTGCTCTTACTATGTTATATGTGTTTGTTTAAATAAATATTTGTTCTTTCTTCATTACACATCATTTTCTATCTTTGTTCTAATAAGACAAACCGTTATAAAAAGTAAATGAGTGTTGTCAGGCATATAGTGCAAACCATTTGCAGTCGAGTCATTTTATTTGTAGATGTTGAATAACAAAGTGATTAAAAGAGTATCTTTATTTATGAGTAAATGACATAAATTGATCTTAAACATTAATAAAACTTTCCTAACAACTGCACACCTTAGTGATTCTGGATCCATTTTCTCTTATGTTTTCGCTTCGCTTCCTGTGTTTGTTTGCATTTGCCCCGTCTCTCCCACTGTTCTGCCACTGTAATCAGCCATCATTCCACTCACCTGCTTACCCGGCTACGACTATTACTCTGTTTACCCTACGGTTCTGCTACCCTGCTTACCTGACTGCTTGACATCTGCTACTCCACATACCACTGGCTGTGGCTCAGGAGGTAGAGCGGGTCATTTCCTAACCGGAGGATTAGCGGTTCAATTCCCGGCTTGTCCAGTCAACATGTCGAGGTGTCCTTGAGCAAGTCACCGGTGTGTGAATGCGTGAGTGCTTGGGAGTGCGAATGGGTGAATGGCCGAATAATGTGAAAGTGCTTTGAGTGTGCTGTAAAAGCATAGAAAGGCGCTATACAGGTATAAGACCATTTACCTGGCGGCGACTGTCACTCTGACTGCCCGGTATTGACCTGCCTGTCCTCTGGTTCCTGCATCCCTCTTGTCATCCCACCTGCCCATCCTCCTGGTTCCTCGCCTTGCCTGTCCTCTGTGCACTTCCTGCTAGCCCTGAGCCTGCTAGACTTCCTGCCGTTACCTGTTTAATAAACTGCTTTCTTTAGTTCCTACTCCTCTTGTTTCGGTGTCTGCATCTGGGGTCCACACCACATCCATCATAACATTTTCACTGTCATTTTCCAACCACCTGTGAAAATGACCAATACTTTCATTAATTTTAACCAGCTTCACTTGGCGCAGGCTTTAAAGTTTCAACACAACAGAAAAAGTCTTTTTATAATTAGACAGACTGGACTGCAGTCTCACAGGAATCAGTTGGATATCTGTAATGAATGTTATCCTGACCAAGCACAGCCCATTTAAAATGGATGAACAGAAAGAGATGGAGAGCAGGTTTTCACATTGGATACATACAGTATGTATGCTCATGGGAGTGAGGGTGGAAAAAGAAGGGAAGAGATGAGTGTGTATGTGTGACTTGTCTGCTGGATCAAGCAGAAAGGAGCTGAAGTATTCCATTTTTATTTAAAAATCTCTTTATTTCTGGCACTCTCTACACCCGAACGAGCCAGACAGCTTTCCTACAGACTGACTTCCAGAGCTTGATTTCCAACCACGGTGGTGGTGCCCCCGCCATCTGGCCGAGATTGAAGAACACTCTGATCTTATCACATGGAAGCAGCGGGCATCTTGAGTCACATCATCAAAATCTGCCCTCGTATTTCATAAACAACCACCTCTGTGGAAACTAAAAGCCTATTCTTCTTCAAAATTTCCCAAGTCAGTTTGAGAGCACTGACTGGCTGTGTATGTAGGAAGCCATTTACAAGGTGGAGGCTGTGCTGCTTCAGAACACATATCATAGAGGTCCAGTTAAGGTCCACCCATCTGCTGGTGGGTAAACCTATCTCATATTTCCCACCTGCTTCCTGGACTTACACTTTTACACCTTTTTGGTCTGATATATACTGATATGAGATAAATACAAAGCATGAGCCAGGTTACACAGCAGGAAAGGTTATCTGAAAATACACAGTTAAACTATATATCACAAAACATCCAGCAAAACAGAAAGAGAAGTAAAATGAGTACAAGTGATGCAGTTGCATTTTGTGTCTGGTGGTTATTTTGTGTCACCTTATAGTTATTTTACATATCTGTCTTGGTAATTTTGTCATTTCATGTTTTATTGTGGTCATTTTGTATCACTTTTTACACTTTGTTTTGCACCTTTTGTATCTCATTTTGCCTCTTTTGTAGTCATTTTTTGTCTCTTTGCAGTTGTTTGACCTAATTTCCAACAAGAAATATTAACATCCATGACACTAGCAAGCCAACAACCCATCCCCTTCTGATTCTGCTATATGGGAACCAGGTGTGACCAATTGGTCCTGACACAAACCTGATGCAAAAACGGTGACAATGCTAGCATAGCATGCTCATGTTTAGCAGGTATAATGTTTGTCATGCCCAAGATCTCAGTTTAACAAATATTTATCAAATGATAACAAGGGCTAACTAGCAGTCATTTCAAAGTACAGCTAAAGCTGACAGTAATGTCATTAGATTTGCAGGTATTTAATCATAAACCAAAATAGTGAACAAATTGGAATACTGAGATGACCAAAGTTTATCAAAGCAAAATGTAAAAATACTATTGAACCATAACTCATCTGGCCATCTCCTGCATTAATGTATGTGTAAGTCTTATAGCAGCAGGACTGATGGATTGCTTGGTATCTGAATGCAAATACAGCAACCACTTCCTGTTCAGCAACAACCAAAAGGCAGAGAAATTCTCACCTCTACCAGCTTGACAATGTTGACATGGTCCAGTTTTTTCAGTATGGCAATCTCTTGGTAGACCCTCTCCAGGGGTCCTAAGATTTTGGGCTGCTCTCCTTGGGCTGCCTTGGGTCCTCTTGGGGGTGGGCGACCTGCAGACACCACACAAACCACACACCAGCTACTATATGATTCATTTGATTGTAATGAGCCAGATACTGTGTGACAACTGTGCTGAAATCTAGGCAACAAGAAATTAAAGTGAGAAAATGTGTTGGTTAGATCTTCTACCAGTGACAATATTGCCTAATTTTTAGACAAAACGTTGAGTGTCCGACATACTGCTGACAGAAGCGAATATTTCCCAGTTGAAAATAGCTATTCTCAGTGTCAGAGACAATGAGAATGAATGTGGAAGAAGAGCTGGGCATTTAGGAGGAAAGGCAATTGCATCATGGGTAATGTGATTACAGTGTTTATAGAATTTGAGCCATATTTCAGACTAAAAGCTAGCATACCTGTGCTGGTTAAATTTAGAGCCCTTTTTACTCTGTCCCGTGTGTCCCCCATTAATTAGAGTTTATTTTAAATGGCAATGGTAAACAGTCTTATACTTGTACAGTGCCATTCTATGCTTTACAGCACAGTCAAATCACTTTCACATTCACCCATTCGCACTACCAAACGCTCACACATTCACACACCGGTGTCATCACCGGGAGCAACTGGGGATTAAGTGTCTTGCTCAAAAACACTTTGACACATTGATTAGACAAGCTAGGAATCGAACCGCTAATCCTTCGGTTAGGAGATGACCCGCTGTACCTCCTGAGCCACAGCCGCCCCCAGCCACAGCTGCCCCCTTTGATTTTACATATCAAGTCTTACATTAAACAAATTTTTTTTTTAAAACACGAGGCTGTACTTTTTTTTAACATGATCCTTTTCACATTACAGATATTTTTAAGATGACATATTTGAAGCAAATTATTCTGTTTTTACACAAACACTTCCTTTCATAACATCACATGAATTTTTCTTGGTATTTCATAAAACCAAAAACAGACTTTTGTTGTTAATACAATAAGAAACTTCCATATGCTTGGTGTTTTTTATTATTAAAAGTTGTCTGCTGTTTCACAGTTGTATGTTTGCAGCAACCAGTCAAATTCAAGGGAATAGACAACGATGAGGTCACTGACATTGACCTTAATCTGTTTAAGTGCCAAATTTGAAGAAATTCCCTCAAGGCGTCCCTGCGATATTGCATTCACAAATTGGACTGTAAGGACAGACAAACAACCTGAGAAAATAATGTCTCTGGCCACAGTTATGAAAAACCTTGTCATCTCCTCTCTGTCTCTGGCCACAGTTATGAAAAACCTTATAAACATTCTTTATAAGTCCATCCTGTTGGAGAGTTTCATAAATGCTGTTCCTTTTTCTCAGAAACCATTTCAGTTGATGTTAAACAGGTGTTGTGGTCGCAGTTTTGAAACCTGTTCTGCCTTACACAATAGATCATTTTGCAAAGCACCTGCAATCTGGTGCATCTTTTGTAAACAAAAGACAGACTGTGAATTGTGTGAGCATCTACATAGCCAAATACTGTATGTCTCATCCAGTGGTGTGTATGTGTGTGGCTCAGTCTGTCCTCATTGTAGTGCTGTTACCAGACAACATACAGCCGTGCTGGTATAAACAAAATCCTGAAAGGTTTCCCATAGGTTTATTTGGTATTAGATGGAAGTTTTAGCCAAGTTCAAACTATCCATCTTTCTTTGAGGGTTACTTCCTTCTTCTCTTACCTGATTTGTTTTGTTTCACTGCATTCATAGAACACAATAGAAAAGAACAGGACTTACGTGGAAAACCACACTGCTTCATTAACTTCTTCTTGGACACCACCTTCATGGCCTAGGAAAGTAAAAAGTGATTTAGATAGTGTTAAAAGCCTGAGCACTGTCCTAATGCAGAATGTAAAAGGCAAGAAATATGAACGTTTTACCATCAGTGGAGTTGTTATCAGTGTTATTAACCTTTGTAAAAGGTCAGGGGAGTACCTGAATGGGTAAATTTGAAGCAACAAAATCTTTCATGAAAAAGAGCATCTGTAGGTTTCTTAATGACAACTTTGTGTGTATGTGAGAGAGTGTGTGAGAGAGCGCACGAGTGAACAAACTAAGTTATAATGAAGTGTCAATACAAGGAACTGGTATGCAAAGAAAGAAATAAAGAACAAATGACATTCACTGCACATTGGACATTTCTATAAATTATTAGGACCACTATGATGTCAGAATGTTAATGTGGTTTCACTGATCACTAATTCATGGTAAAGTGGAACATATTCTAATATTTCCACAGCACAAATGGCCTTGGTGATGTACAGCTCTGTAGTTTCTTTACAAAGTGTGGTTACCATGACTATGACTGAGCAGAAACCAGGCTGGGCAAGAAAGCAGTTCTTCCCCTGTACATAGCTTCCATGGTGTGCTGCCTGAGTGCGTCTGTGTATGTGTGTGTGCACGTGTACACTCAGACTTATGGGAGGATGCTTAATTTGAGGAAATAAAGCATTTCCAAACCAGAGTCATCAAACAGTTACTAAGTGTCTAGGAACATTCTGAACTATTGCAGCATTTGGCTGCAGAGCTCTTGTATCCATACAGGCACAATTACATTAATCATAGTCCCACTCTGTTCAGAGTTCATCTGGAATTGATGGGGAGGCTCAGGTAAACAGCTTTCATCTCAAAAGCTACAGTCTAACTGTGTAGGCAGATGTAGATGCCTCATCATTGTGTGTCACCAATAATGTATTTTACCAAATATGAAACTGGAAATGCTATTTTACTTTACAAAAGTATGATAATAACTGTGGCAAACATGATTTATAAGATAGAGTGAAAAGTTATTGGGAAAACAGTTAGTTCTTCTTATTATGTGCTGAGAACAAACTATTGAGTGGTGTATGGCATTTATCAAAGACAGCCAAAAGCATAACAGCAGCAACTGTATTATTTTGTACTGTAGGAGGTTGAAGACAAAAAGGTATCAGAATATGCTGAGCCCAGAGCTCATGTTGCAGTCCTGCCACTGTCCAATCTGAGATGAGAGTCTGGGAAGGAGACAGTGGAAAGTGGGAAAGAGGCCTTGCCCTGGAGTGGGGCCCTTGGTCGCAAAGTTGAAGTAACACCAGGGTCCTAGAGCAGTCTTCATGGCCTCAGGGTGGGCTGGATCAAGCTGCGGCCTTGGCGTGGGTCCCTTGGTGTCCTGCGGAGGGGGCTGAGAGGTAGAGAGGCATAGTATAATATGGAGAATTGGAAAGAAGTGCTGATCTTGGTGAGGTTGGAATGGCAGAAACCAAAGCGACAGGAAGTCCTTGAAGAGGCCTGGGAGCATGGCCAGTCCCAGGAGATGGAAAATGCTGGCATCTCAAACTGGATAAGTGAAGAGTCTATCGATCCCTGGGCCTGTTGTAGGTAAGAAGGAGGTCCAGCAATGATATTGGAGCCTGAAAAGAAGCCGGCCAAGCTATTGCCCTTGAAGCAGCCACTGAGGGACACTGAGATGACACAGCTATGCCAGCGTTCCTTGGTGTGGACATTGGGGTGTATGGAGCCCCTGTGGGAGGAAGGATGGCTGATGAGGAAAAGTTGTTGTCTCCTAAAACTGGAGACAGGAAGCTAAGTTCAGAAATTGATGCAACAGCCTATGAAAAGCTGAGGCTGAAGGGGGTAGAGGAGGAAGGATGGTGCGGCAGTTGTGAGTGTGCTTGTGGACCAGGCCGGGGGAGCTCTGGACTCTGACTGACCATACCCTGTTACCAAGACTGACTGATTCTGTGACAATCTTCTTATTTAATACTGTATCTATTCCATTGCAGGAGTGATGAATCTATTCTCTGTTCCCTAACTACCAGATTACCTATTTACTGTAACTACTACTCTGTTCAGAATAATTGTAATATTAAATGATTATTTAAATTGGGATGATTTGTCTGAATTAATTTAGTCTGTATCACATTCTAGCCATGACAGAATCCATGACAGGTGCGCAGTAGTCGAGTGTCAGCCTTCTAACAAAAAATGGAAGCTGTTTAGGGTGGTTTTTGGTGGTTTAAATATTACATAAACGGAAGGGGTATAGTTCGGGTCAGGTCCTGCTCCTGAACTCAAGATAATTTCCATTATCTTCATGTAGTTAGGTGGCAATTTGGAGAAGCATAAATTTACTTAGAAACATACACCATATATGCATCATATCCACTGATATATTGTGATTCACTATCTTAAAATTTGTTTGGCACCTCTGCAATACGGAGCCTCCATACTGACTAAAACTTTAGACAGTATATCAAAATAAACATTGCTTGAGCCACTTCAAGCCACACTCTAACCAGAACAGTAGTGCAAACAGTCCTTGAGCAGCTAATTTGTCAGGAATACACCAGAAGAGCAAGTGGAGTATCTGTTTACAGGAGAGCTGATCCAGGAGTACCTGCAATATTTGGAACTGAGCTGCTGTCAAAAAAGTAAAATAAACAAACAAAAAACTCTTAAAATAATTATACAGCGATTCTAATGCCCCATCAGCACTAACCTGATACATTGCAATCCCTGTGACTGCTTTATATTGCCAATCTTCTGAACACAGGAGGAAATGTTGGGTGGTAACAGTCAAGAGTGAGACTGATGCCAGTGAGCTCAAATTCTCAACAGTAACACTGGATGACACGCTGCTTTGTTTTCTTTGAATCACTTGTGTGTAGGCAGGACAGTTTGAATCCAGTGTGAAATGGTGAACTCTATTACTAAAAAAGAAAACTTCTGCTGTCCATAAATAATATCAGAAACAAGGTTTGATTTCTTAATCTTAAGAAATATACATTAACTTTTTTCTGTTTATTGTATAGTGCTTGCTCCTGCACTGGGCCAGTTTGTTGCTTTACCCACCTTGCTCTGTTGGTAATCCAGCATCGGTTGACAGAAGCAATAAAGATCAATATTGCAGAGGGTTGAAAGCAAATGCAATATACAATCACCTGTTACCCCTTGGGGTAAAACTAAGACAAAAAATTGGGTGCACACAGAAACAGTGACATTTTCTGTATATTCAGACTTTTATATTTTAAAATTTTCCATTTCACAAACTAGGTTCCAGAATATTGCTTACATACACAGCTGGTGTGCATGTTTGCATGTAGCATGTGTGTCCACATTTAGTTTAGGCATCCCCACACTCCTGGAAGTGTTTTAGAGGGACAGGCACTCATTAAGCAAATGATAGAGAAGTAAAAACTCTGCTCCTGCTTCTGAGAGCAAGTAGGTGCTAATAATTAGCTCTTTAAAGTAATCTCTCCTCCAAATAGAAAGAAGTTGAGTGAATGCTGCATGAATTAGGTTTACTTTAGCCCCCTGAGGCTGATCAGTGGCATCATCACAACTGGATGACTGCCAATCAAGTTGTGAGCATGGTAATTATATGAGAAAAGACACTACAATCAACACATGCATGCATTCATAGACCTTTCCAACAATCACTTGGAAAAGATTACTGTGTTAACACGTAACACTGGGAAGAATTACTCATCATACTATATTTTTATCCCAGGCCTGTCAAGTCAATATCTGTTCCATTTCCATTCATATTAAAACAGATCACTGATGCATTATCAACATAATATCCATCAGTGTTTTCCTTACTGTTGATGCCAAGACTGAGACCTGAATGAAATGCTACTTTTTTAATTGAAACATGAAATGCCATGTTTAGAGGACAAAGGACATCACATAGAAGATACATGTACAGTGAGGAACAGAAGTATTTGAACACCCTGCGATTTTGCAAGTTCTCCCACTTAGAAATCATGGAGGGGTCTGAAATTCACATTGTAGGTGCATTCCCACTCTGAGAGACAGAATTAAAAAAAAAAATTCAGGAAATCACATTGTATGATTTTTAAAGAATTTATTTGTCTTGCACTGCTGAACATAAGTATTTGAACACCTGAGAAA